GTTCAGGTTAACATCAGGAGAGGAGCCATGGACACTAGGAGCACCTAACTGCTTTTAACCAAGGGCGTAACTTTAGGTCCATCACTCAGGGGGTTATGCTCGAAAACCCTGTGTGTCATTTTTAGCAATTATGCTTAAACATATATGATTTTGTACTTTAAAGTTACCTAAAGACAACAAGAGAGTTGCTGTCTACTTAACCAGTTAATTTATTTTGTGTTTGAGCAAATTATGTAATTTTCTTGGGGGGGTATTTTGACATTATCAAATCATTGTGGGGGTCATAATCCCCCTAACCCCCTGCAAATTTCGCCTATGCTTTTAACATTACAATTCTCACAATTAAACAGCATGCAAAAACAGGACAAGTGTACAATTATTACTAAAGATGCTATAGTTTCCTTAAAAATGTGACGTCGATCCTGAGTTCTGAACGACTGAAACGGAGCTGAAAGTTGTGATAAATATGAATGTGTTGTTGGAAAGACAGTTTGCTGCAATACTTCCCTTCATCTGAACCTGACTGATGAATGGAGGCAGTTCATAACAGAGGKGGGACCAAGTCATCAAGTCTTTATCCTCAAGTCAGAGTCAAGTCTCAACCAATCACAGGCAACTGTCAAGTCCCAAGTCTAAAACTTAGAATTTTGTCTTTTCAAGTCTTTTTATTRCAACGTTGCAGTTATATGTTAACTGTAAACATAAACTGTGTTCTTCTTTTTTAAATCTGTATTTGTCAAATGGCGATGGAAGCAGCTGAACTTACAAAGTATTTAAGAGTGGATTCACACCAGGAAAGTCCTGGTTCGCTTGTTTGGTCCGGACCAAACCTGGACTTAGTTTTTTTTTTTTTTTCATTTGGTGCGGTTTGTATTTACATTGTGCTTTTTTGCAAATGAACTATAAGTTGTAAACAAAGCCATGAGGCTGACGATCATTGCTCCCACTGGACAGAAAGGACAGGGCTGGGGCTGAGAGCACAGACCCAAAAGAAAACAAGGAAGTCCTGCATGCTGCGGTTCTGATGCGCACATTTTTGCTGATAGTACAACTGCAATAGCATTTAAAATATCAAAAGCAGCTAATTTAATGGTGGTTCTGTGATGATATTCTAATTTTGGAGCGACGTCATGTAAATGTGTCCCGCAACCCAAAGGAGACGAGGTGCGCTGCATGTTCTGACCCACTACATGCTAGCAGCAGAGCTGCTAATAGGAGACAATGAATTAGGTATTGTTGTGGAATGCTTATTATGTATCACCTTGACACTGTCCAATTGTTCATATCTTGTGATATCC